ACTCTTCCAGAATTTCGTTACCCTCTAGTTGAGAAAGAGAGTAAGTACCCTGCTCTTGAACCAGGTAAGCCTTGGCGACTGCCTCTGCTAATAGGATGCAAAGGAAGTGAGGCTATGTGACTTCTAAGGCTAGGTCGCAAAATGCCATGCACTTTTAAGTTGGTCTTTGTTCTTGAAAACCAGCAGTCTAATTATGAGGGAGCTCACTCAAGCAACCTGTGGAGCAGCCTCATGGGGAGGAATAATGGCAATTGGTCCACAGCTCTGGCTGACCTCCCAGCTGGCAGCTAGTGACAACTTGCTAGGTGTGTGAGTGCGCCATCTTGAAAATGGATCCGTAACCTCCAATTGAACCAGCTGACATTGCATAGCGCAGAGATAAGCCTTTGCTGCTGAGTCCACCCCAAATTGCACCCCAAAATGAGTCCAGCCCACTCATTTATATCAAGATAAATGAGTGGGATGGTTTGTTACAGAAAAGCAGGAAACGGATAGGAAACAGTAGGAAACCCCCACTCATTCTCTTTACCTTCCACCACCAGACCCGCGCAAAAGTCTTGGGGTATTAACCTAGGCCCAGATACCAGCAGGGAATTGGCCCCCAGGTTCTTGCCTACAGGTTATTTGAAGTCTCTTGTGTGGCAGTTCATCTGCCACCTATGGGGTGGGGGTATCTTCTGAGAGCCTGAGAATCCTAAGGCCATACCTCTTTGAGGTCTTGCAAAACCACCATCTTCCTCACCTCCAAGTTGGCCATGGATATCTTTTCTCAAGGCTTTATAGGAGGGAGTTCTCCTCATCCCTTTTCCTACCTCCAGAACTCCTGGCTCTGCCTCTGGAACGGATTAAAGAATTTCCAAAGGTGGAGTCGCTCACTAGAAGTGTCTGCACTCTCCGCCTCGCAAAATGCCCAAGGCGAGTCACGACAAAGCTCGCCCTCTGCTGGAGGAGAGGGAATAGGGGCAATGCTAGGAGAGCCAACCCATGTGATAGTTCAGCGAACGACTCTGCTATGGTTTGAATGAATTGGAAACTGAATCCCCAAATTCGTATGTTGATGTTAGTTGGGGGTAGGGCCTTTGGGAGGATTAGATAAGGTCATCTGGGTGAGGCCCTCATGATGAGGACTGGTGGCTTTATAATAAGAGGAAGAGAGACTTGCGGTGGCATGCCCTTGCCCTCTCACCACGTGACGAGGCAGTAAGAAGGCTCTCACCAGATGTGGCCCCTTAACCTTGGACTTCTCAGGCTCCAAAACTACGCAAAATAAAATTCTTCTATCAGTTACCTAGACTGTAAACAGACAATGGACTAAGATAACCTCAGATGGGCATCTACTCAATGACCATCCCTGAAGCTTCCAGGCACTGTGCTAAAAGCTACAAGGGAGACAAGGCCAAATGGCAGTGCCACCAGAGACCTGGACAAAAGGGCACCTGTGGCCACCCAGAGTCCACACCTGACCTTGATCATGCTTCAGGTGTCTAAAAACCTAGACTGCCCAACTGGCCCAAGCCAGTTTTTTTTTTTTTTTTTTTTTTTGACAGGGTCTTGCTCTGTTGCCCAGGCTGGAGTGTAGTGGCACAATCTCAGCTTACTGCAACCTCTGCCTCCCTGGCTCAAGCAATTCTCCCTCTCAGCCCCCTGAATAGCTGGGACTACAAGCACGTGCCACCACGCCTGGCTAATTTTTGCATTTTTTGTAGAGACGGGGTTTCACCGTATTGTCCGGGCTGGTATTATAGGTGTGAGGCATGGTGCCCAGCCCCGCAAGCCAGTTTTAAGTCTTACAAAGCCCCCTGCTACCCCCGGTACACCCAGGTACCGTCCTGAGGGTACATCCTGTCCCTGGAGTGTGCACCCAGAGAGAGGTGACAAAGAGGTGGCTGTAGGCAAGGCGTGTGGGCAGAGTTTGGGTGCATGAGCTGGAGTGTCCACATTCCTGAATCCTAGGCCACTTGTGACACAGGACAGAGATGGGGGTGGGAAGAGAAGTGGAGTGGGTGGCCTGAAGGCTAGCGCCAGGCTATCCTACCGCACTGCCATGTTCTTACATAAAATTCTAAAGAGTCCAAGAATTCTCAGTTTGAACATGGTCTTCCTGGTCATTAGAAGGGAAGTTTGAATGTATTGGAAACTGAATCCCCAATTTCATATGCTGAGGCAGGAGAACACACATTTTATTTTACAGTCTGTTAAATGTTTCAATACAAGGTATCTGGTCCTTAATTTGCACTCTTGGGCTCCCCGTGTTCAGGTAGGTCGGCATAACAGGACTAGCGCTCCAGGCCCTGCGCTCCTACAGGAAGGCACTCTTCTGTGGGGCTCAGACAATGACAGGGAGTATGGCAGAGATTCTAGAAGCTGCCTGCAGACTGCTCTCCATGTCACCACAGCTGCCTCTAACTCTAATCTGGAGTGGCAGGGCAGCAAGGAATAGCAGATGGGACTCATATGAGGGAATGCCTTCATGGGGGAGGGGACGGCGGGAGGGGATCCAGCTGTTTTGCCGATGGCCAGTCCCTGTCTGTCGTGCTGGAGCCCTATCAACTTCAGTAGGGATGGCACGAGGTTCAAGAGGCTGAAGGAGAGACCCGAGCCAGCGATGGGGACACGGAGTTTTATTGGGAAACTTACACACAGGGATGGTCCGGTGGCAGTGGACTGGACAGAATTGTACAGTCCCATGACAGGATGGGCAGGAGAACCACGACTGCTTACAAAAAGCCTGCAGTTTACACATCATTCTCACTTAGCACCCTCCCCCAACAGCCCCTACCTGATAACCTTCATTCAGCCCCAAACAAAGAGACTTGAGCCCCTGTACAGCCTGTGTTTCACAGGATGGGTCATGGTTCAAATGTGCCTCACAAATAAGGAATGAATCTGCAGGTTGGTCATTCCCGGCTTCCTTAGCTGGAAACTACAAACACATATTTGGGTGCATCTCTCATACAGGGCCATTCTCGGGGTATGCTTAAGTCAAGTTACTGCTGTCAGGAGCATCTGTCAGACACCATCACAAACACCTTGGAGGGAGGGGGTGTGGACTAGGGTGGAACAGGAGGGTTTTTTATGCCCATTTTGCATGGGCTGGGTAGGGTAGGGGTCTGAAACCCAGCCCAAGACAGAATGGCACAGTGGTTCTCAAAGTGTGGTCCCCGGACCAGCATCCACATCATCTAGGAGTTTGTTAGGAGCTTAACCTCCTGCAGGATAGATGGTGTCTCTGCAGGTGGGACATGCTGCTGGGTTCAAAGGATTCCCCAACTTCACTTCTCTGCCTTGGTGTGGGAATTCTATGAAGGAGACTTTTCACTGAAAAAAGAACATTTTCTGAGCCTCTACGGCATTCAAACAATGGGCCAAATACTTTATGAATGCTGTCATATGTAATCTTCAACAGCCAACGTCAAGATCGGTATTATTGTTATGGCTTTTTATTGTTATTCCCTGTTTAAGGGCTCATCCCAGAAAGGCACGTAGCTTGCCTTGTCCTGGGTTTAAAAAGCAACCAGCAGGCCACCCAGGTCTGCGTGATTCTTCGACCACCCTAATTCTTTACAATGTGCTCAACCGTGGTTCATGCTTGAATGTGATTCAGAATCACCTGGAGGCCTTATGAAAACCAATTGCCCCACAGTGTTCCATTCAATAAGTTGGGAGGGGCGTCAAAACACACATTCCTAACAAGTTCCCAGATGATGTTCCTCCTGGTTCAGGGACCACAATGTGAGAACTACAGTGCTGGGCTGGGATCCAGCACCCTCCACCCGTCCCCCCCGCCACTCTACCCATGCAAAGCACCCATAATCATACCCTCCCACAATGGTGCGTTGTGTGATGCCAAGGAGATAATGGGAGCGAAAGAGCTTTGTCAGCTGCAGAGGTGAATGCCCCTGGTCATTAACCAGGTAATCTGGCTGAGGCTGGTCCCCTGGAGCCTGGAAGGGCAGAGGGCTGGGACACAGGGTGGGGCACCGCGGCCACCTAGAGAACTCTTGAAGCCCACCTCAATTCTGGGCCACTTTTTCTTCAGGTAGAAAGCCAGCTTTGAGGGCTCAGGCCCGCTGTCCCTTCTGCCACTCTTCTCATCAAGCCACACCTCCTCCCTCACCTCAGGCAGCTGCTGGGCACTGCCTCAGCACTGGCTGGCCTAGGCCACTTCTCCGGGGGCCAGTCCAGGCAAGCTGGGGCAGCTCAAGCCTGTGACTCAGGACCTGAGGCTGGATCCCGCTCACACCCGCCTCCACCATGAGATTCAGAGCCGGAGACTTCCCTTCTCTGAGCCTTCAACTGCACATTAGTAAAACGCGTGCAACGGGTGTACCATGAGTTGTGGGAATTCAAGAGCTAGAACTTTATACAGCAGTTGGCATAGAATCTGGCGCCTGGCAAGGGTTCAATCAATGATAGTATTTTCAAAAAGTGCCTGGGCCCAGGCCGCCTCTTCATAGAGGCCCCGACTTGGAACGCAAACCGCTCCCACGCCGTTCCCCGGTTGCACCCGGATACACCCGCCCTGGAATGCCAGCGTGGGGGCCCCAGGGCTACACGCCCCGAGCTGAGAGAGGCAGGGCAGGGCAGGATTAGGAAGGCGCTGAGCCCAGGCCGGGGCGGGGAGGGGCGTGGCCTCACCCTACTAGGGCCGGGGGCGGGGTGGGCCCCAAGGAGAAAGTGAAGGAGGCGGGGGCGTTGGGAGGGTCCGGGAGGAGACTGGGGAAAACGAGGCAGTTGTGAGCCGGGCGGGACCGTTAGGAAGCGCCGTGAATGGACAGGGATGGGGCGGGGCGGGCCTCATCCCCAGTGTGACCTGGGGACGCGGCTGCCGGGATAGAGGCCGCAGCAGGGCGGGGAGGGGGGCGGGGCCTCAGCGCCAGCTGGGCCCGGGGGCGGGGCTGGCCGGGGCAGGGCCGTAGTGGGCGGGACCTGGCCGGTAAGAGCGCACCGTCTCACCACAGGGCTCGGGGGCGGGGCCGGCAGAGGGGCGCTAAGGGGGCGTGTCCTCAGGGGGCGGGGCCTGCGGAGTCTACGGCTTTCCCCTACTGCCGACGGTAGGGGGCCGAGGAGTGACCGAGCCCGGGGCTGCGCAGTCCGACGCCGACTGGGGCACGAGCGGGCGACGCTGGGCCTGCAGCGCGGAGCAGAAAGCAGAACCAGCAGGTGAGCAAGAGGCACCGGGCCGGGGGAGTCTGCCCGACAATCAGAAGCGAAGTTATTTTCGCCCCTGCTTCTGCAGCCCGGCTCGGACGGCTTTCCTTGAAACAGCGACAGGTCGGGGCAGCTGGTGGGTGAAAAGGCGCTTTAGCCCCCAGTCCTGAACCCCCAGTTCTCCCACTCTGTCGTGCACCAGCTGCGTGACCCCGGGTCCGTCCCCTCACCCGGCTCTGGACCTCCTGGGCTTCAGTAGGAGGAAGTGAACCAGGTGAATTCCACGCTCCGGTTGCACTTTCTTACTTAAAACCTCGGAAGGTGAGGGCTGGCAGGTGAGAGCTGGCTGCAGGTCACCACAGGTGTTCCCATCGCGCTGCCCTCTGCAGTTTCTCTCCCTGCAAAATGGGACTGAGCAAAGCGAATTGCTTTAAAGAGTACACGGGTTCCTCGGTTGAGGCTCGAACCCACGAACCCTGGGGAAGCCGAGCCCAAAGCAGGGAGGTTCCATTTCCCTCCTCACCTGCTTCCCACCAATTCTGACAGTTCAACTAAGCCGGACCGCCTAAGACTTCAAGTTGGAAACTCAGTGGGGCTTTTCCAGGTGAGCTGGCCTGAGCAGGGGGTTGGAAATCGGGGAACAGTTCTTACTCTGGTGAGTGGGGAAGAGAAGGGAAAACCCCACCGATCCTTAGGCCGGGGGTCAAGCCCAGGGCCCCAGGGGCTCTTGCAGCATACTCAGGGTTAATTTCTTGGCTGACGGTTTCTGTTCCTGGTGGTGGTGGTGGCTGCTCTGTGCTGGTCCCCCAGTAGCAGGACAGCCTGGTTTTGTGGTCAAGGGCTTGGGCTTTGGGATGAAACTGATTTGGATTCCATTTCTCCTCCAAACTTCAGTTTCCTCACCTGTAAAATGGGGAAAATGACAATATCCAATGGCAGCAGCAAGCATGAGATAGAATAACGTGTATAAGCTCCTTAGCAGGGCTCCAGGAAACCAGTGAGACCTCCCTCCATGACAGCTGCTTCCATTCGGATGGGCAGGTGATGGGCTTGCTTCCTGTGGGAAATGAGGCTTTTTTTTTTTTTTTTTTTTTTTTTTGTTGGAGAGATGGGGTTGGCTGCAGCCCCTTCTGACTGCGTGAGAGCCAGAAATTGCCACCTGCCACCAACATCACTCCATTTGAGGGATGGGGAGTGTGTCACCTGGAACAAAGAGTGGCTGAGTTTTCTGTAATGTTGCTTGAGGTTGGAGAGTGTTGAGTTAAATAAGTCTAAAAATGTTTGCTGAGCACCTACTATATGCTAAAGAGAGCTAGAGGGTACAGAGGTGAATTAGCCAGACCTGAGTTGCTGACAATGAAGGCTCCCCTATACTTACCATGTCCCTGTAGAGAGGATCACTCACATCCAGGGCTTATGGCCAGATGAGAGTTCATGGGTCTGTGCAGCCCTGGTGGCTGGAATCCAGCTATACCATTGCACACGTGGCTTGGGATGGAGGCGAGGGGCAGTGTGAGCACCCGGTATCTAATCAGGGTCGGGCACTGAAGGACACTGAAGGTGCTGCATTATGTTGGCTCCCTGCATCTTCTGGGAGATGAGCTGTACAGTATGGAACAAGCTGGAAAGTACTGTGGGACAGAGACGAATTGGCGGCTGCGCTGTGGCAGGAGACTGTGTGTGTATGTAGGGCAGGGGGAGGCGTTCAGAAGAGTGAGACACTTGAGAAGCCAGGGCAGGGGGTGGGGGTAAGGAGGCTTCCTGGAGTGGGTGAGATTTGAATAGGACTTTCTGCCTGGGCTCCTGGTCCTGGTTTGGCTTGGATCAATGTGGGACCACAGTCTCTCCAAGCACTGAAGTGGTGTAAATTGGAGTTTGGCGTAGTGGGGGAGGGAGACGGTCTGGTAGGTGGTGCCTGTGGTGGGCAGATGTTCATTTTAACACAGCCTGCCTAGTGAGCCTTAACGGAAAGCCCTCCCCCACCCACCACCTACTTCCCACTTGATGAATGACAAGGGACCACATAAGGCCTGCACCTTCAGGTTGCTTAGCATCCGGGAAGGGACTTAGACAAGAATACCAGTGACTCTGATGCAAGATAAATGAAGAACAGATTAGAGGGATCTTCTAGGCCTTATGGACTGGGAAGACCTCGGCAGTCAGAATGAAGATGGTGTCTTGGAGAGAGGAAAATGCCTAGGCAGAGGCAGCGAGGTCAACTTGTTCTGAGAAGTCTCGAGAAACTGCTAGCTTGCTCATTCTGGCTGAAGTTTGGGACTGTACTGGGTTACGCAGTGGGAATAGTAGGTGGGATTAGCTTATGGAGGGCCTTGAATGCCAGGGTAAGAACTTTGGATCTGATTTGCAGAAAGCGGGAGCCACTGAAGGTGTTTGAGGAGAGGAGTGACGGAGCAGAGCAGCACCTTAGGAAGATCAGTCTGTGCCAGATGTGCTGGGGTGGAGGCTCCAGTGGTCAAGGGATAATGAACCCATGGATGCAGTGACAGGGAAGAAGGCTCTGGGTGGCTTTGGGGATGTCTGCAGCTGGGAGTGAAGGAAGAGACACTGGCCATGGGGATGGCAAAGGCACCATCGGAGGGATGGGAGAGGACTTTTCCAGCACATTTGTACTTTTATCTTTTCCACCCTGTCTAGTCCCTGGTACGTAGCAGGGGCTCAGGAAGGTGGCTGGATTGGGTGAGTGGTGGGGGAAGTGGGGGCCATGTTCTGGGAGAGGGATGATGAATGCTATGGAGGGGTTTGTCCATGAAGGGAAGGCATCATCTGGGCTGAATGGGAGCCTGTGCCAGCCAGCGGTAGGTTTGGGAGTGTGTGTGTGTGTGTGTGTGTGTGTGTGTGTGTGTGTGTGTGTGTCGGGGGGGGTGGGCGGTGGTTGGAAGAAGTTCCTGATAGTCTCTCCCATCCCAGCCCAGGGAGGGTAGGGGTGAGAGGTCAGCCATGTACTGTCTCTGGCAGCGGGCGAGTAGTCAGGGCACAAGTTTCCCACAGTGGGGGAACTGAGGCAGGATTTTGGTTCCCCTGGGCTCCTCTGAAGTTTCTGCTCTGCGGGGGCAGCCCCTCTTTCTTGAGGCCTCACGCTTTAGAGTCACAGCCTGGAAGCCCCCACAGGCCATCCCCTTCCACCCTGAGGACTCAACCCTATTCCCCTAAGGACCGGACAGTCCCTCCTCGGCCCGTGGCTGAGCAGCCCCATGTCCTGGGTGTTCCTTTGGCTTTGGAGCATCTGGGACCAGCTGGCACCCCTGGTTCTGGCTTGGTCTTGGCCCCCTGCTCCAAACCGTTATACCCACTTCCTCCGCCCCACAGGAAGCTCACAGGGGGCGGTTATGACTTAATCAAGAACATCAAACGACCAGGAGCTGGCTCTGTGAGAGGTGGGAAGGGAGGGAAGAGCCTGGGCTGTTTGGCCTGGGCCCCTCCATGGGACAGGACCCGTTTAATCTCAGCAGGAACTGCCCTGCCCACCTGCTTCCCCTCCACTAAGCCGGGGTCTCAGGAGCTGGGAGGGGAAGCCCAGAGGTAAACAGGGACGGAGCGGTATGGGGCGTGTTGCTCCCCTCGCCCCTGACGCCACCCTGAGAGGAGACAGACAACCACAGACCCGGGCCTCTGCAGCAGGCACAGCTGGTGTCTCTCAGAGGCTGGCTCGTTCCTGACTCACCCCCGGGCTTCCCCCTCCGCTGTGGTTTTCCTGTCGGCAGCTGATTCACCATGCTGACATGGAGAGGCAGCTGGTGGGGGAAAGAGGCCTGTGTGCTGCTCCTCAGAGTTGGCTCTGGCTCTGGCTCTGCTGTGTGCTGTGTGACCTTAGTTAAGTTCCTTCTCATCTCTGGGGTTCCTTCCCTGACTTGCCGATGGCCCATTCTTTCCTTGGCTCTCAGGGAGTTCTGGGACCTGGGATCTATTTTTTGCAAAGTAGGGAATGTCTGTGAACACTCACTCCTACTCAGGCGTGCACACACGCAAATACAACCCAACACAGAGACACTGGGCAGCGCCCCCTCAGACAGGAGCACTTGATCCCAACTCCCTGTTCTTTTTACCTTGTTTCCGCCACCTGAAGCACCTTTACCTACCGCCTGCCTGTTCACAGATTAGGGAGATGATGGTACAGCATGGCAGTAAAGCACTGGATCTCAGCCCTGCCAATTTCTAGCTATGTGACCCTTTCTGAGCCTCAGTTTTTGAATCTGTAAATGGGGATAATAATGGTCATGGCTTCATAGGTCATGAGGAGGAAACACAAAAGTATAGATGAAACACTTAGTACTGTTATGCCTAGCGCATAGTAAATGCTCAGTAAAGGAGAACCATAGTTGTTTGCTGCATCTGGCTGGTCTTTCAAGGCTGATGCCAGGCTCCTTCTCATGCCCCCAGGGACATTCCCAGAGCACCTGCCTTCTGCACAGGGCCTCTGTGCCTCTCCAATATGTGTGCGTCCCCAGAAGCCAGTCATGTCTGGCTGTGCATGGCTCTCTGGCTCTTCCTGGGGGTGGCTGGGTCTCTTCACTGTTATACTCAGCTTCCTGAGGGGCTGTAGGTCTGAACATCAATGGCTGCCTTTCCCAAGCCTCTCCTTGCCTTTCACCCTCTCCTCTGTGCTAGTCTATGCTGAGAACCCTCCCCTCGGATCCTGCCGCTTGGTGGCATAGGATGTGTTTCCACAAGCCCTCCTGGGCAGGTGCTGCCCTGTCCCCTCTGTGTCTGTATCTCTGATTCCTGGCACACAACAGGCATTTGGGGATCAATGGCCGAATGAATAGGTAAGTGGTTCTCCTGGGTGGGGCCGGGGGTATCAGTAGGACCCAGCTTGGTGCCAGATACCAGGTGACCCCTTGGCAAAGGCAGAACTAGGAAGCAGGGTCTGGTCACCACTGCCTGGCCCTTCAGGCCCATCGGCCCCACTCCTGGAACCTGGATCCAGGGAGATAGGAATGAACTCTGTCCTGGGACTGCTTTCAGTAGAGCGTCTGCTTCTCTTCTGACGCCTG